TAACATTGATCTCAAACCTTTCTTGCACAAGGGATGGTCCTTCCTCCTTGGAGGAGGGCCTTAAGTTAAACTAGCAGTTGAGAAACTGACCGAGTTGGTGTCAGAGAAACACTAACAGACACAGCTGTAGAAAGGGCATAGTGTTTACTAAATAACTTACAGTATATGATTTGACATGGACCTGCTACAGAGCTAGGTCTGTGGTGCAGAAATACAAAGTTCTCACAGATTAAATTTAGTCTGAACGTTTCTTCTGTATCACATTTCCTCTTACAGCCCTCATGTAAATCTAGTCTCAAGATCTCTTGTTCACTTGTGTGTGTGGTTTATCCTACTTCTGTGTTGTATCTTATTTAATGCCTTATCTTATACATTGGTCTGTGAAATGAAGAAGTGAGATCAAGACTGTGTTCAAACACTTCCTTTTTCATTCCTGGAGTGACACAATCTATCGCGTGTTTTTCTCAAACATCCTGGTCACACAATGTGGCAGGTTCATTTAGTTAGCAATCTGAGTTTGGTATTTGTATAGTGAATCTACAGTTGCCAACACATATCAGTGGTTGGCCTTTGTGAAGACAACATGCTTGTGGTGTTTGGACTCCTGGTGATGTTAACCAGACTCTCTAATGGTAAGAGGCTATAGTTGTTTGTCTATGGAGGTCATGCATGTTCTAACAATAAGGCAGTGTTATAAAGGGTGTTTAACTGAATAATTACAGCAGAATACAATGCTGTGTTATTATGAGAAGAAAAGAAACAGAAACCAATCAATGTAATAGGCCTATCATAGAGCATCTCAAGTTTGATGGTTTATATACTTCCCAAGCAAGCTTAAATTATTTACTTGTCAAATTAGATATTTTTCTATCCCTTATTTTACAAGGTAAATTGACTGAGAACACATTCTCATTTACAGCAGCTACCTGGGGAATAGTTACAGGGGAGAGGAGATGACTGGGCCAATTGGAAGCTGGGGATGATTAGGCAGCCATGATGGTATGAGGGCCAGATTAGGAATTTAGCCAGGACTCCAGGGTTAGCACCCCTACTCTTACCATAAGTGCCATGGGAACTTTAGTGACCACATAGAGTTAAGACACTGGTTTAATGTCCCATCCAAAAGACGGCATCCTACACAGGGCAATGTCTCCAATCACTGCCCTGGTGCATTGGGATATATATTATTTGTTTTAGACCAGAGGAAAGGGTGCATACTACTGGCCCTCCAACACCACTTCCAGCAGCATCTGGTCTCCCATCCAGGGATCGACCAGTACCAACCCTGCTTAGCTTCAGAGGCAAGCCAGCAGTGGGATGCAGGGTGTTATGCTGCTGGAGCAATCATAATGTTACAAAAGGAAATTCTATTAGAGTTTCAGAGGAATAATAACTGTAATCACTATCAACAAAAGTGTCCCTTTTCCCTCCTTTCCTCAGGCATGAAGGAGAAATCCTGTGATGTTAGACAGAACATGTCATGTCACAGAACTTTGGGAGAAACTGTATATCTTCAGCTGATGAATAACGCCACGGGGTCTGAACTCAGATTCAAGAAAGTCCGCACTAGTGTTATTATAGAGATATTCAAAAAGAAAAACAACACAGTGATAATCCATGACTCCATTAAAGCTAGATCAGAGTTCTTTATCAACAACGGGACATTTAGGATAGCGAACACAGAAAGCAGTGATTTTGGTGAATATCTCTTCGAAATCTATAATTCAAGTGGAATAAATTTGAGCACCAGAAGAGTACAACTGATAATTGGAGGTGAGGAGCTAAAAAGCTCATATCTATTTGCCAAATAAAAATCTTCCAAAGAAGCTAAAGGCTTCTTGAATGTTGACATGCATGATTTTTGAGGGACTGTTTGTCAAACATTGACTAGTGATAAATATATGATCAAATGTTTTTTTGGGTGTAAAATGCTCCTTTGAAAGCTTACATACATGAACCCTCTTGCTTCTCCCCCATTTCTGTCCACCTTATCATGTAGGAAGATCCGATTGGCCTATCATTGCGTCACTAGTAGCTGTGGTCCTGGTCCTTACAGTGGTGGTGGGAGCTTACTGTATTCACAAGAGGGGGAGACCTCCACAGGCTCCAGGTCAGTAGTGTGACAGTCTAACAATTCTAACAAACCTCAAAGATTACTATCTACAGTATACTGATGGTTACCACATTCAGTCAGCTCATGTGACTGTTGTTTCAGTGTTGTACCTCACTTTAGGACTGTTTTTATGTGGCTTTTATACTTTGCATAGTGTAGGTTCATTTCTATAGGGCTATTTTCAGACTTACAGACAGGCTAAGTGCACGTGAAGGAGGTCAATCTATTAGTGCTAAAAGCCCCAATGCATCAGTTTTTATATCAAAATCAAATCATTTCTGGGTAACATTTAAGTACCTTACTGTAATAGATTGGCATTAAAATAGGCAAAAGTAGCTTTTAGCAAATCATTATTTTTTAAGCAAAAATTTTGCTAGGACAGTCTGGGAGTGGTTGAGTGGGGAATGGAAAACTGAAAAATAGCTGTTATTGGCAGAGAGGTTTGGAACTCTCTTTGTTATTGGTCTATTAACCAATTTACCACATGGTGATGTCACCATGCAAAGCTGAAACTCCCACCTATGCAAACCTGCTGAATAGAAGGTCCTGTGTAGATTGTATTTTCAACCAGGAAATTACCTGGTTGAAAATGTTTTCACACTTTTGTGATTTTCATCAACTGTTGTACAATATGATATAAAACACAGGAAAAACATATTTTTAACTGCACTGGGCCTTTAAGTAGGCTTTTGACCCTCGAAGTATAATTGTCAACAAATGATCTGTGCATTAGCAAACCCCCCCCCCAAACACTCATGTCACATCTCCCCAGTCCCCACAGATGCTGATGAGAGTCCAGAATTGGAATATGCTGACGTCACTATTCTAAAGAAGATGGATAAACCCCCGGAGGTTCCAGAGGAGGTGAAGTATGGACAGGTTGTAGTGTTGGAGGGTTCCAGACAAACCAAAGAGAGAGACAGACCTGAGAGGCTGGAGGATACTGTGTATGCTGGAATACAGTTTGGCCAATGAGAGAGTTTCTTCAGTGTAGGCCGGGGTGTGAAGGGTTGGTCTAGTATTACAGCTTTGTTGCTTCATGTGTTACTGTAACTAATTGTATCTAACTTTCCCATATTTCTGTAGATATTTTCATGAAATGTACATGAACAACCCAACAACTAAACTGTATACACTGGCTGTAGTGAGTACGTCTGTTATTGATTGAACATGTTTTTTACCCTTTAAAGTCTTAACATACAGCCATACTAACCATTTCCATCTACAACATGTTATTACACAGTAGTAACAGTAGTAACAGTAGTAACAGTGTTAACAGTGTTAACAGTAGTAACAGGGGTAGCAATGGTAACCGCAGTAACAGTAGTAACATTGGAAACAGTGGTAACAGTAGTAACGGTGGTAACGGTGGTAACTGTAGTAACAGTGGTAACAGTGCCAAGTCTAGGTCCAAAAGACTTCTCAACAGCTTCTACCCCCAAGCCATAAGACTCCTGAACAGCTAATCATGGCTACCCGGACTATTTGCACTGCCCCCCCACCCCATCCTTTTTACGCTGCTGCTACTCTGTTAAGTATTTATGCATAGTCACTTTAACTCTACCCACATGTACATATTACCTCAACTACCTCAACTAGCCGGTGCCCCCGCACATTGACTCTGCAACGGTACCCCCCTGTATATATAGCCTCCCTACTGTCACTTTATTTTACTGTATATATAGCCTCCCTACTGTCACTTTATTTTACTTCTGCTCTTTTTTTCTCAACACTTTTTTTGTTGTTGTTTTATTCTTACTTTTTTTGTTTAAAATAAATGCACTGTTGGTTAAGGGCTGTAAGTAAGCATTTCACTGTAATGTCTGCACCTGTTGTATTCGGCGCATGTGACCAATACAATTTGATTTGATTTGATTTGATTTGAACAGTTGTCATTCACTGCAGAAGTTTGTGATGGAGAAGATGTCCCTGTAGTGTACAATTCTGTGAAACACAATTCTCACTATTATCCTCAATGGTAGAATGGGTCAAACTGTTTTCTAAAGCACGTCTTGTTTTGCATCCAATAACAAACCCAAGTCAACAAGGTTTGAGCCCCCAGAAAGTGCTATGTAAACCCAGTCCATTATAAACTCATGTTATTGTGTCCAGCCAACAACTGCAACCCAAAATGAATCAGTTGCAGCCGGTCGAAGAAACCAGAGAGTCACAAACCACTATTAGGGAAACATTGTACTTTGATCTGCTGGTCCTCTCTGTTTCACTTCTGATTTCTCTCACCTCTCCTACTCTCAAATTCCTCTCTCTCTCTCTCTCTCTCTCTCTCTCTCTCTCTCTCTCTCTCTCTTACTTGTTCATTTCTCCTGCTCATGGTGTAATGCTAATGTTTTAGCAGCCAGAGCAATGAAAATGTAAATGACGTCATCATTTCTTAATGTTTTTACAGACAGATGTAGCCTATTGAATATAATTATAGAATATGCATAAAATGCGTCCTCCAATAGAAATGTCTGCCTATGCCCACACATATTGTCAAAAATAAAATAAAAATGTATACCCTCAAACAACAAGTTATGCATACGTAATTTCAAAATAGGCCATGTCATCATCACTGTCAATCGTAAATGATAATTCTTTGTTTTACCAGCGAAATGTCCAAACTGCGTCTGCATGCAATTTTTTTGATACCAGTCAGTTTCATGGGAATACTGTTTTATGAGCTAATTAGAGCAGTTGGTGTTAAGAAACTATACAAACTATACTGAACACTGGGGAGCCAGGCCCAGCCAATTAGAATGAGTTTTTCAACATAAAAGGGCTTTATTACAGACATAAATACTCCTAAGTTTCATCAGCTGTCCGGGTGGCTGGTGAATAAGCCAGGAGCTGCACATTTTAGAGTGGATTTTTATTGTCCCCAACACAAGGTGCACCTGTTCAATGATCATGCTGTTTAATCAGCTTCTTGATATGCCACACCTGTCAGGTGGATGGATTATTTTGACAAAGGAAAAATGCCCACTAACATGGATGTAAACAAATTTATGCACAACATTTGAGAGAAAATCAGCTTTTTGTGCGCATGGACTATTTCTGGGATCTTTTATTTCATCTCATGAAACATGGGACCAACACTTTACATGTTGCGCTTATATTTTTGTTCAGTGTATATAGCCTTCCTGTATTTTGTTTCAATCAAAGCACATTATGCCTAGTGGCACATGCTGTTGAGTTTTGGCCTCACGAGAGGACATATCGCTAAGGGACATATCGTAATTTACTGAGGGGGAGGGGTGGTCCAAAATAGGGGAGGGTTGTCACTTGTCAAACTTGTATTAATTTTTTTGCACTGGGGGAGGGTAGTGTGTTTTTTTATTGGGCACAGGGGAGGGTAGTGCGTTTTATCCCTGGTTAACATTCACTATTTGCAGGTTTTGCTATATAATTTTCTCCATCCTAGCCACATTTCCTAATCTGTTTGCATGGACCTCTCCTATATGAAGGTGTTTTGGTACTTCCCTTATGAACTACGCTTTTCCATGTGTTAATTATGGCTGTACCACAGGTCAATATAGTCTACCAGTCTAACGGTCTATCCTGCCCTCGATCCATCATTCACATTGACAATAGTGTTAGGTGGATTGTTTGTCCAGATCTGCAATAGGCTAACTAGCAATCAAACCACACATAAAAGCATTCAAAGCTGCATCAAGCTTCAATATGAATCGTCAAGAACAAATAGGAATAGCTGATAGGCAGCAGACAGCCCAGGTGCATCATTGACATGAAAGAACAGTGAAGACATGAAACACACAGCTCAGGGTCAAAAGCCTAATTAAAGGCCCAGTGCAGTCAAAATATGCTTCAAAGTCTCCTGTAGGCATGCGCACATTCATCCAAAATATAATTCCAGCATCCTTAAAATGGCTTGACATTAACCAGGTTTCCCTACATCCTTTTTATGCATTAAAGTAGCCTACATGTCTGATAAAAAATGTCATGACATCATGGGAAAGCATGCAGTTTAGTTAAGTTATGATGAACTTCACAGGGTGGCGAAAGTGCACAGTGATGAGGTTGATGCTCCTTTCAATAAATATGGAGGGTCTTGTTCTTGTTACATGATGATCGATGCTTGGCTGCCATTTTAAAAATGCAAATTATCTGGCATTTTTGTCCATAATAGCCTCATCATGTAGTAGGCTATACATCCACTGTATCTGCAAGCTGTTGGCTAGAGCGCACGTGCCATAACCAACTTGTATGTTTTTATTTGATACATGGGAATTTAACCTCAAAAGTTATTTTTATGTTCACTATGTATTTAAGCACATACTTTTATCTGCAACAAGTCAATTTGATGGAAACTACTCTGATGTGAAATGTGCCAGTGTTTCCTTTAGCCGGTAATTGCAGCTTTTGAAAAGCCAATAAATAAAATTGTAGTGGGCCAAATTGTCCTGGAGAGGCTGTCCATCATAGCCTACACCCCCAGGAGAGGCTGTCTATCACAGCCTACACCCCCAGGAGAGGCTGTCTATCATAGCCTACACCCCCAGGAGAAGCTGTCTATCATAGCCGACACCCCCAGGAGAAGCTATCTGTCATAGCCGACACCCCCAGGAGAAGCTATCTATCATAGCCTACACCCCCAGGAGAAGCTATCTATCATAGCCTACACCCCCAGGAGAAGCTGTCTATAATAGCCTACACCCCCAGGAGAGGCTGTCTATCATAGCCTACACCCCCAGGAGAGGCTGTATATCACAGCCTACATCTCCAGGAGAGGCTGTCTATCATATTCTACACCTCCAGGAGAGGCTGTATATCGTAGCCTACACCCTGATATTCGCGCTTCATCACCATTCTCTCACACCTTAAACCCATGTGAGCTGAGGAGAGAGGACCTGAGAGAGGAGACTTGGCCTAGGCTACTGAGCTAAAATGGAGGCCTTTTTCATTGAAGTAAAACAAAAGTTAGAGGAAAAAGAGCATGCCTTTAGTGAAAAGCCTACAAGGGGAATTTAATAAAAAATGTAATATTGTAGTGGACTAAGATGAGAAGAAAGTTGGCATGGCAACGCAGGCTACTGTGTAACTCCCTATCCAGGTAGGATGCAATTTAGGAACTTACAGTTTTTTATAATAATATGTTTTATCATTATTATGGTATATTATTGTTATTATTGTAAGCCTATTTATTAATCAAAACCTGTTTTTTTCATATGCAAAACCTGTTTTGTTTAATTCTGTAGAGACATTTTCATGGACTAAATTACATTTGATCTGTCTTTTTAATTGTGTGCTCCATAATTATTTTAAGATAGGTTATAAGTAGTGTTGGGCATGGTAGGCACTTGCCTTTGTTGGTAATTTTTGAAAAATAGCCTGTTCAAATTTTATTTTTTCCAACTGTAATCCTGTGTTTGCTACAATATAATAGCCTGCTCATATATTCCCTATAAACAATGGCTTGACTTACTTTTGATATTACCCTAATAAAGTTTAGAAACTTTTGTGAAAGTTTGGTGTGATATGGCTATTATTAAGCTTTAGCTACTGCAAGCCTATGATAGGAAGACAGTGTACATCGGTGATGCAACTGACTCCGACAGTTGAACTTGAGGTGAGGAAGACTGTTTCAGGCCTACCAGAGTTACTCGTATAACCTAACAATATAATGCTTTCTTTTATACAAAATATTATAGAATGCCGCCAGCATATCTCTATCTCTCTGGGGTTAGGCCTAAGCTTCTCTTCCCTTAAATATGCTATATATTTTTTTAAATATTAATATCATACAGTGGACATCTGAGCTTAAAGGCCTATGCATGCAATGCCCTGATACATTTTGTGCTCATATCTCTAATAGCTGAAACTTGAGGTGGAAAATTATTGTTTTAGGAAGGTAGCCTAAAAATCTAAACAAAAATAGGCTATAAAGTTTTGCATATGCTACACATCGAAACACAAGGAATAGTGTTTTTGCAATTTGTTATAGGCTGTTTTTAAGG